ATCCCCCGGAAAAGCTCATCCTGCAGGAAAACCAAGCTCGGCCATGCGTGCGAGCCTGAGGACGCGCGCCAGGGTCCGCACCTCGCGTTTGAACCCCTGCTTTCTGCCCCGCTGGGCTTGGCACTGCCCGAGTGCTGCACTAACCGTCTGTAGTTTGGGGAAAAAAATAATAATTCAGTGGGAAGGATGTAATTCCCGTACAAATCCTGCTTCAGCTCGTCCCGCAGCGGGGCTCGGGAGGGCCAGGTTGGACAGTCCTGTGTCTCGTACACCCCGAGCGTGGAGCGGAGAGGAAAAGTCTGGTTGTACGCTGTAGGTGCTGATACCGGAGCTTTCACCTGATTTTGGTGGTCGGAGGGGTTTTTTTAAGTCGCAGCTCGAATCCTGAAGCGGCTGGGTAAGTTCTGGTAAGGAGGGAGGAGGGAGAATATTTTAAAAGCAAAGGATTTATAAAACATAAATGAAAATTAGCCCCCGGGAGAGGAGAGGGAGAGATCAGTTCACGCCGCCACGGTAGCGGAAGCGATTCCCAGCGAGGTCTAGCACAAATAGTGCGCCAGTACTGAATTAATTCTGGCTTTACTGTTAATTGCTGGGCAAAAATCAAGGCTTTTGATTACGAGCCTTACAAGAAGGTAAGCAAAGTGGTAAGGGTGTTACAGACGGTGGGAGATGACGTAGCCCTCATCCGCATCGCTTCAGAGACACGATAGCACTGATGATGAGAAAAAAGAGATTTTTTTTTTTTTTTTTTTTATCATAGCAGCTTTAGTTTCCTAATTCCCCCTTCTGCACTCTTACCGTGTCCTTTGATCAGGCAGTTTACAGGATTGCTACCGGTCACACTTCCCAGGACCGTGCCCTCCCAGAGCAGCACCCTTGCCCGTGCGACTGCAGAGGAACGAAACAAAATCCTTTTTGTCATGGTTTACCTGCTTCGGGTCGTCTTTGGCCACGTGCCGATTTGGGTATTTATTTGTTTCTGGTGCGCTGCAGTTTCCAGAAAACATTCCTGGCGTATGGGCGATTAAAAAAATGACTGTCAAGTTTCTACTCTGGTTATTAAACTATTTTGCAAAGATGCAATTAACTGTAGAGCTCCTGTTAATTACAGTGTGTGAATGAATCATAAAATAATCTATTTGGGAGTCACGGTTGCAGAGAGAGAGGTGGTTTTCTTTTTTTTTTTTATTTGCATTTCTCAGAAATGTGAATAATTAGGACTGATTTATAGAGCTAAAATGACAGCGAGGGGAACGACATACATCTCCTCTTCCTCAAAAACTCTACACGCCCGTTTCTCTGCTTTTGAGCTCTGTTTAGGGGTTGCACGGAGCCACGTGTTGCGTGGGCCGGGGCCAGCCCGGGCGCTGCTGCCGCCCGCTCCTTCCACGCCTGCGCGGGCTTTGCAGAGCCAAGCCGGTGGGATCTGCCCTCAAATCTGTGTTCAGGCAGCTCGCAAAGCGGTGGGCCTGGGCGACACGAGTTTGGGGGCTATTTCTGTGAATTCAGGTCATAAATCAATGGTTTAATTGTGTCGTTAGCCGTCGG